CGCGGGCAGGGCCACCTGCGGCCCCGCGGAGCTGCCCGGAGGTGAGGGGCGGCGCGTATCCCGCGGGTGTGGGGGGGAGGGGAATGGGGGTGCGGCTCAGACAGCCTGGCCCCGGAGGAAGGCGAAGGTTGCGTCCCTGGAAGGCCGAGCCCCCGGAGGAAGGCTGAGTCCTGAAGGGAGGCCGTGCGCCGGGAGGAAGACCCAGCCCTTGGAGGAAGGCCGAGCCCCTAGAGAAAGGTCGAGCCCCAGGAGAGAGCTTGTGCCTGCAGGGACAGCTTGTACATCAGCCTCTGCTCCAAGGAGCTGTGCTGAGAGACAGGTATGGAGACAGACAGAGAGTCAAAGAAGGTGGAGGGGACACATAGAGACACAGAGGGAAAGTCAGGGAAAGAGAGACAGAGAAGGAGAGACACACACACACAGAGACACAGAGGGAATGGAACAGAGAGACAGAGGCACAGAGAGAGGCAGAGACACAGCAGTCCAGAGACAGAGGCACACAGAAAGAGAGAGAGAGAGACACAGAGGGAGAGACAGAGAGGGAGACACAGAGAGAGGCACAGAGGAAGGGACAGAGACATAGGCACAGACAGACAAAGATAGAGAGACAGAGACAGAGAGACCCCCAAACATGGCCTACGTCACTAATGGACTTGCCCCAGAGAATCTGTGCCTTAGAGTTTGTTTTTCTGCTGCAGCCTGTACCCCAAGACCAGTCTGTACCCCCAGAAAACCTGCACCTCCAGATACTCTGTCTTAGAGCCTGGCCTCCATACCTCTGCCCGGGTATGACTGCACCCCTAGGTCAGTCCAAGCACCCAGATCAGCCTGTGCTCCTAGACCACCAAGTACCCCAAAGAGAGCCTGTACCCCCAAGACCATCCTGTACCCTCAGCTACAGCCTCTGCCTCAGCCTAGCATGTACCCCCAACTAGCCTGTGCCCCCACATCATGCAATGACCTCCCAAAGCCCCTGTCCCCAGCACAGCCACTGTCCAAGGCCTTCCTGGTCCCCCCAACCCAAACCAGCTGGTAGCTCTAGAGAAAGCCTGTGTCCCTGGAAAAACCCTGCCTATGTCCCCAGGTCTAGCTGGTGCCCTCAGACAGCCTGTGCCACCCAAGACAGCCTGTGTCCTCCGGAAATGCCAGCACCCCCGAGGCAGCCTGTGCCCCTGTGTGTGCGCCCACAGACAGCCTGTGCCCTGGAGAGACAGCCTGGTGTTGGCTTGCTCCTCCCAGCCTGGGGACAGCCTGCACTTGCAGCCCGTGAGCTGGGGACAGACTGCCTCCACGCCCACCCCAAAGTAGATGCTATGCCTGTTCCCCACCATCTGTACCCACCAGATACCTTCAGACACTCCAGGGCGGGCCTTGTGCCTCTCGGGAAGCATTCTTTTTCTTTTTTCTTCCTTTCCTTCTTTCTCCCCCCACCCCTTCCTCTTTTTTTTGGCTTGTCTCTTTCTGTCACCCAGGCCACAGTGCAGTGGCACATCACAGCTCACCACAGCCTCGACATTCTGGGCTCAGGTGACCTTTCCGCTTCAGCCTTCCAAGTACCTGGAATACAGGCATGCACCACCACATCTGGGTAATTTTTAAATTTATTGTAGAGATGAGATCTCACCATGTTGCCCAGGCTAGTCTCAAAGTCCTGGGTTCAGGCAATCCTTTCACTTCCACCTCCCAAAGTACTGGGATTACAGACATGAGCCACCGTGCCCAGCCATATATCTTTCTTCTTCCCTCTTTCTTTCTTTCTCTCTTTCTCTCTTTCTTTCTTTCTTTCTCTCTCTCTCTCTGTCTCTCTCTCTCTCTCTCTCTCTCTGTCTTTCTTTCTTTCTT